AGAAAAAACAGAGAACACAATTAGGACACTGTCCATCGAAAAGATGGTGCTGACTGGGCTCTGGCTGTTTAACCAAAGTGCTACTGTAGGGGGCTGCTGTAGTTTAACTCCTGCCCACCAGTAGCTGCGTCAAACAAAAAAGGGTGACTCGGGGTCTGACTATTCATCCATTCTCTGCGCTTTAATTTCCATTGATTGTGAATGCAGGGGGGAAGGAGGAAGGGGGTCTTCAGTGAAGGACCACGACACGCCTTCAGACGCGGACAGACCCTTACAAGCCATCTGCCACTAACTTCCCCCTCCCCTGCATATCCAGAAAACGACGTTTATTTCCCTGCTTCCCTCCCTCCCTCCTCCGGCCTGAAGCGCACATCTCTATGTGCCTCTGTCCACTGGGCTCCATCTACACTCAACTGGAAGCATGTATAAGGACCTGTAACGGTATGGGCCCTCCGGGGCCATATGGCGAGGGGGAAGCAGGAGAGTTTTTTTTCCTTTCTTGGTCCCAGAAGAGGAGACACCACATGGTCACTCGTGGGAACGTAAACACAGCGAGCATCACACGATATCGATCATAAGAGGCGGTGATCGGGGAAGGGGAGAAGGGAGGGTGATGCTGCGTGATGATCAACTGATTATTTACAGTAATATCTCATCAGTGCAGAAAATATGACTGCAGACTTCACCTGGAGTCAAAGATGCACACATGATGGTCGGTGGTTCAATCCCCTGAATAAAAAGGAAAAGGTGCAGAATCAATGTTCTCTTGCTGGATGCAGCTGAGAGGAGAGGGAAGGGGAGGGGGGCGCTAAGGAGGAGAAGGAGGAGGATGAGGGGATAGAGGCCACCCGTGTAAGCGCTGAAAGCCTAAAGGAAATGGCAGGTTTTGAATGGGCACGTTCGTGAGAGATGCTATTACGCATTCCTCCTCCAGGCGTAATAGCTTACAGGGAAAAAACACCTTAGCAACAATATGGAGGAATACAATTCATTTGTGTGACTTTACCAGTGTTTTATAATCCGTTTGGAAGACCATCCCATCAGAATTTAGTTTTGCTAAACAGTTATTAGGTTCGGACCATTTTAAGGCTCTTTGGAGACTTGGGATTTCAGAGGAGACTTGGACTGCCTTCTCTCAGGTCCGCTTGTTCTACCTGCTCAGACGCAGAGATCAACAGGCTCCTTTGTGTCCAGATCAGATTACTGTGGCCAGCTGCTCGAAAAGGGGGCCACAGGCCAGACCCGCGTTTCCCCAGGGCCTGTCGGGGTTCCGCGAGGCTCCGCACGGCTTCCCACGGCTCTTCGAGGCTCCCTGTCCGGCCTGCTGTCTCATTTGCATACTTTGCTGTTGGTGGAGACGTGCTGAGTTTACGTTTATGGGAAGAGTGCGGCAGTAATTACGTGGGAGGCCCGGAGACGCGCCTGCAAGTGTGTGTGTGTAGGCATCGGGGACCTAAGGGGGAGGTAAAGAGCGAGCTGTACGTGGCCAGTCGCGTGCCAGTGTTTATAAAAACACATCTGCTGCGCACCCTGGGGTGACGCACAACAACACACGCGGGTCCCTAAGAATAAAATCGATAAATCCACAACTGATACCGTGCGCCACACGTTTAACCAAAACATATACTCATGTAAATGCACACACCCACGGTCCTACCGTAATGACGAGTAGGCGAAGGATTAAACAATCGCAAACCTTTAATAAATATAAACTTATAGTTGTCAAAAGTTAATGATAAAATGATCAAGTTTACATAGAAAAGTGAATTAAAGTTCAGCCTGTTTTTATAACATTTTCTGTGCAACAGCAACCAGAATAGTAGAATAGAGTAAAATTGGCCTTTGCTGTTATTGTACATGTACAACAAAATTATGGGTGGTCCACACCAACCGTGCAGGAATAAAATATAAATACCACCAGGACAGCAGGAATAAATAACAAACAGACAAAATATACACAGTCAAGAGGATACATACATGGATGTAGGGTTAAAAAAATAAAATTAAAGGCATTTAATGGGTAAAAGCAAGTAAGACCTTTTTAAATAGATTATAACTCTGCTTTTGGTTTAATGTGGTTTGACATGGGAGTGTAGTGAATAAGAAAATAGGGTGAATTATATTTAAGTGGCTTCATGTGACTTTGTGACTTATATAGTGCAATTTCCCATCTAATTCTTCTGAATTTGGAGTGAGTAACAACTGGAAAATGCAAATTATACTGTAAGTGTTATGAAACAATACGCACTTTCAGAGTATCATAAAAGAAGGGAGATAGACAGTGTACTTAGTGGCCACTTCATCAGCTGCTGCTGCTGGGCTGCACCCCTTTGGCCTCCACAACTGCCTAAACTCTTTGAGGCCTAAAGTCAACAAGCTGCTTGAAATATTCCTCAGAGAATTTGGTCCATGCTGACATGATAACATCACACAGTTGCTGCAGATTCGTCAGCTGCACATCTGTCATGTAAATCTCCCGTTCCACCCAAATCCCAGTGTTGATCTGTTGGATTGAGACCTGGTGACTGCAGAGCCTGTTCGAATACTGTCGACTCATTTTCACGTTCAAGAAACCACTTTAAGATGATTTGAGCTTTGCGACACGGTGACATGGTCGACTGGCAACGTTTGCAGCCGTCAGAAGACGTGTACACTGTAGTCATAAAGGGATGGACATGGTCTGGCAGTTTGGTAAGAAAATATCCACCACATGATAGACGCCACTGCTCCCAGCAGCCTGAATCATTGATACGAAGCAGGATGGAGCTATGCTTTCATGTTGTTTATGCCAAATTCTGACCGTACCCTTTGAATGTCACAGCAGAAGTCAAGTCTCATTAGACCAGCAAAGATTCCTCCAGTCGTCTGTTGTCCTACAATATTGTTGCACGCCTAGCATTTTATATACTACACCACATGTTTGTTAATGATTGCCAAATGTTAATGCCATTTTTGGCTTTTGACCTGTTGTGTTACCCTGAATTGAACCTTTTCCTCATTCGACCGGCTTTTATTTGCGATGCAGTGGAACAAGTCGACACGGACTGTTTTGTTCATGTTTGGAAAGAGAACGATTTACTGTTTGATAGAGTCATTAAACACTTAACAGCGGGGGCGAACCT